ATTACCTAATTTAAAGTTGAAACCAGCAAATAAAACAAAGGAAGAATGAACTTTGGCAAATAAATAGTAAAAATTTAAAGCAGGTCAAAAAATAAGAAGTAAAAATAAAACAAAAAAAAGAGAAACATCTGCATAAAGAGATAGTAACTACTAATGAAAAAAATCTAGAAGAGGCAGAAACCAACCAGTGTGCTCACTGCTCATGAACACAAATCGTATTTAAGAATGTTTCGGGAAGAAAGAGCCATAGGGGAAAAAAAAAAAGAAATCTTACTGTCTGTGCTCATTACAGACTATCCTTTTCTTTTGGAAGAGAAAGAAGGCATGGGTCTATGGAACTTCACCAGAATAAAAATCTGAAGGAGTTATGGAATAAATCAGAGAAAGGACAGTACAAAACCATCAGCAGCGGCTGATGTTTCCCCTAAGAGTGCTGAGGGAATTCTGTAATGAAAGAGCTGCACTATCGATGGCGATAAAACCTGCTGGAAACCACAGGGCTCTCTCCTGGGGCTTATTCAGCTCAAATTTCTCATAAATGATCTGGAAAAAACAGAGATATACTTCTTTGAAAACACCAGCACTGTTCTCTGCAGTGGTCAAAACAAACACATGGTTATGTCGGTTGCTTTTAGAAACCACAAAATACAGTTAAACTGTCATAAAAGACAAAAAACATACCTGCCTCCTCAATAGTTCCTAAGTTTGGATTTCACAAAAAACAGTATAAGAAAAGGTACAAGAAATAGAAGATGACAACCAGATCTATAGAATCTTTTCTAATAGAAGAGGAAATTGACTCCTCTTCTTGGCATAGAGCTGAGTGATAGACTCCATAGCAAAAGTGCAGAAAATGAAAGAGATAAACAAGTCTATTTTTTCATGTCACATATAAATAAATAGTGGCACTAATTGATACAGATTTGTTGTATGCCAAAACTAATACATTGGATCCAAACTCTGTTAGACAAACCAACGGAAGACTACCAAGTGTGTCATGAACTCAGCCTCAAACTCATTTTATAACCTGGTAGAGCATCTAGCAGAAGTGACTTGGAGATGTCAGATTTCCTATTTCCAAAAGCATTTGCCATTGTCAGAGACAGATTACAGAGGTTGAATGAGATTAAAAGTCACCTAAATATCTGTTCTTATGTTCTGTTCCAGGGAACAGTGTAAACCATTCTTATCAATCCAAAACACAAGAGCTACTGGTTGTGTTCCAAAAAAACAAATCTCACTTTCCTACGTACTACAGGCCATGTGCTTTTCCTTGATTAATGACCAAAAAAAAAAATCTTTGTTTGCAGACCACTGCACTTTGAATTTGAACAAATAAATATGCAACAAGAAGATGTTAAGGATGGAAAGGATACTTCCCTGACTTTGTCTATACCTTCCCAGCTCATCCAGGACCTACAGGATTCTTGCTCTTTACATTATCCATTAAATACTTAATGTCATTTGACTTTCATCCATCCTTTTGCCTCAGACTCATAATGTGAAAGGACTGGCAGAAGGGATAGGGCATAGCCAGTGTGAACCACCACTCTGCCTTCATTTCTATCTAAACAAAGCTGTACTTTTTGCTTACAGTATGGAGCAAGGAAAGAAAAGGCTTGATAGCAAACAGATGACTCCCCACTCACATTCACGTCCAGTCCTCCAATGACAGAGCTCTGCAGGTCCAAGAAGGACCAGCTATGTATTGCTGGAGGGAGGAGTGGCATAAAGCTCAATCCAGTCTGAAGCACTGAGAAAGTGGTTACTTGTATCTTTGTGTTTACTTTTCAAATTGATTATACAGCAGTTAAATGTAGTAATCAGCACTCTGCAGCCTTGATAAACATCCACATCAAAAAAAAAAAAACAAGAGAAAATATTTTTTCTATAAGCAATTAAGATGCACGTGTCAGTGATTAAGCTCCAAGTGATAAATGAGGAAAGATAGTGAGATCTGAAAACATGAAAGACTTCAAGTGATAGGAAATCATGCTTCCTGGGGGATACACAGAATCTGTTTATTTTGAAATCTTCTTTAAGTAATACCACACTTAAAAAAGGGGGGAAGTTTCAATTTTGCCATAGTCCACTTTCAGATTTCTCTTTAATCCCATGACACACTTAATCAAGCTCACAGCAGCCTAAAACTATTTTAAGAATTGGGGAAAATGAAAGTTTTATTCCTGATTATTTGATGAATAAACTTATATAAATAAACATACATGCTACCTTTGGAGGACTTCAGAAAAATCTAAAAAGTGTATCTAATAATTGGCAATAGGACACAGTTTATGGATATAAATAGCAAGCCAGATCTGACCAGTTCATAGCTGATTCATCACTGTAATAGGAGCCAGCAGTACATGTTACAGGTCAGCTATCTGTTAGTTTCCTATCTAAGCCACAATTTAAATTGAGAGTGGAAAGCAAAAATGATTCACCCTTTCTCCCAAACCATCTACCTCTTGATCTGAATCACTGAAGAATGGGAAAAGAAATCTGTGCTGTCATCTCAGGCATTTCAAACCCACTTAGGTGCCAATCAAATCCAATTAAATTTAATTCTGCTGACTGCAAAAAGAAGTTAAATAACCCAGATGAACAAAACAAGGATCTCTAGTATGCAAAAACAATAAGAGCTATGGTAAAATAATAAGCATTTAGCTGTGCCTTGAAGAGACACGTGGCACTGTGAGTTGTTTCCAGACTTGCACAGCTACAGACTTAGCTTTGCTGATTTCTCTGATTTAATATCAGATCTGTGTTTTACAAGTATTTAAGTCCAAGTAGCCTTCTTGCGCACTTTTCAGTAGATGTGGAGAAATGGCACTTCTAGGATTGTAGCAATTGGACAGATTAATACGGTGGGAAAAGATGTTTCACTGGAGTAACAACAAAGAATCAGCATAATAGAAAGGTGCTGTAAAGGAAAGGAAAAAGACTGCTTACCCATATCAGAAAATCCCAGGTTTGCAGGGGAAAGCTCCATCAAGGACAGATCTCCAGAAGGAGATCCTTCCCCAGCAGCAGTCAGCCCTTAAATGGGGTCTCAGAGAGGTGCAGCCAGGCTCCACCCCTTCTGGTCACACAGCTGAATTGCCTTCACCTGCGCTCCCAGGGCTGACCGGATCCTTTCCCCAACTGCTCAATCAGTGATTCCCATACAAGGATGAAACTCACTGCTCCTGTTTTCAGCTTCTATTCTAAAATGAGATTAATTGCTACCTGCATATACATATTTTCCTACATAGGTTGCAAGGAAGGTGATGCTAGATGAGCTGTTAGAGATACCCATATCCGGTGTGATGGATTCTGTTCTTAGACGTAAAATAATCTGATTTCAATTGAGTTACATTATAAGACATGGAAAACAACAGAATTCTTGCACAGTCCTTTAGGTGTGTGCCTAAAAGAATGATCTAATGCTTAATCCTCAATCTTGGGTATAAGAAAAAGAACTCTGAAATCAATATGCGATTACACAGGAAGCCATTGCAAAGAGTGAGATGAAAATAAGACAGATGAGTGGTTTGTAAAGGCATGAACCTGTGCGTTTTAATTCAATAGTCTAAGTAAAATCCTGAGAGATACAAAAAGTAAAAATTAAAAAAAAAAATCCAACCAAGCACTTAACTCAGCATTAGCTGTGTACTTGGTTAAGGGAATGAGAGCTTCTTCTAGTGCTTAGACAAATGAACCTGAATGGTTGCACCTTCCCATGAAGAGTTTCACCATCTGATGTGTGGGAAAGGGGAAAAAAAATACAAAATTAATAACTTGAGGAGACTTTTATTCATTTAGTTTCACTACCTGCTAGTGGAGCACAATGTAGGAGCATGGAGCTCCATGCACACTGTGCTAGAACAGACTGCTTGAAGTGATGCTTACAGAGATAGTAACAAGAGCAGTATAGAAGAAGCATCAGAGACTCACTTTCCATATCTGTGCACATCACAGTGTTGAATCAAGCCTCCTACTGAAACTGATAAAAATGCTTGCCTTTCTGACAAGGAAATGTCAGATAAACAGATTAGAAAACTATGCAAATTGTGAAACAGCTCTGTAATGACCAGTGTTCTGACCTGGCTGGATTTAGTTGCTGTCATAATTAAGTGGAAGTTATGACTACAGACAGCCTGATGGCTCACAAAAGTCTGGAATCTCCTTAAGAAAAGCAAGAGAATGCCTCCCAGATAGCTACAATGGCTACAACCTATCATCATTATAAGGGGAGAGGGAAAAAATACTCATGCTGTGTCAAACTTTATCCTTAGCAGATGTTTATACCAGATTAATCTTCAAGTCTTTGCTTGCAAGAAAAATAGGTAATTATAATCACACTGTTGATTGTTTGAAACAGTGCTCCAAACTTAAAAGGAAAGTGAACAAAATGAAAATAGTAATCAAAAGGTCAGCTTTAAAGAGAGGAAAGAAAAAAAAAAAAAGCAGCTTAGAAAATGGCATTTCCAACTTTAATGTTCTCTTAAAGGGAAAAAATATTCCCATATCCCAGAAGGCCTGGATGACATCCAGTTACCTGTGTTATACTGCACTCAGAAAGGCCTGAGTCAATATTTAGCATTGCTACTTCAACTGGAAACCAACACTGTAATAACAGCTGGTGAGCATCAGCATTCTTTGCCACATAAAGTGAGTCCGATGGTTAGGAGGAGCCTGGTCCTGAGAAATCCAAAGGGAAATTACAAAGGAAGCATTTACCTCCTTAGTAGTGTGTATGAAGTGTTAATTCTTTCCTTGTTCTCAAGGGACACCATGGAAAACAACTGCCTTGGGATCTGCATGCTGTGTCCAGACACTTTGTTAGCACTTTGCTCAGCATACAGCTTGCCTGCTCCATGTCTGATCATAAGGGACCTACACACTGCACACAGAAACCAAGTTTTGCACTGGCATCAAACTTAGAACCAAAAAACTGGTTGCTCTGCTACAATATAAATGAATACTGTATGAAGTATAAACAGAGCAGCAATTAAAGTTTTAAATCATCCTTTATTCTTTCAATCAAGTGAAGTATAAAATGACTCCCCATTAACCTCCCACTTCTTCAGCAATTTAATGCCCATCTACGTATGGAGATGCTCCTCGTTTTTAAGAACGCCACTCTCAAAGAGTATAGGTCGCAGTTTCCTCCGAAATTATGGTGCTTCACATCTCCAAATGTTCCAGCAATCAGCAAGCAAACGAGTGCCCACCGGTGCCCCTCAGACGGGTTCTGAATAGCAAGGCACTAGCGGGCAAAGCCTTCCACTTTGCAGATGCCGCGGAGGTTTTGGGAGGCGCCAGACCCGCGGCTGCCTCTGAGAGGCCGTAACCCCGGGCCGGTGCGGTCCTCGCCGCCGCTACTCGACACTCGCAGTCCCGCGCGGCTCCGGGCCGCCCGTCTCCGCCTCGCCGCCCGCCGCCTTCGCGTTGAAGCACAACTTGAAGACCCCCAGGACGGTCATGACGAGGATCACCAGTACCACCACGGCCACCGTCACCAGGATGAAGACGTAGTTGGAGGAGGAGGAGGGCGGCGGGGCGGCCGTCCCACCGCGGCCGGCGGGCAGGGTCGCGGGCGGCCCCGCGGAGCCGCCGGGTGCCGGGGCAGAGAGGCGGCGGTCGGCCGCGGCGCTGGGGGCGGCGCTGGAGGCCGGGGCGCAGCGCTCTTTGCAGGGGCAGTGGGGCTCCTCCGCGCCCTCCCAGGCGAAGCCGCCCGGACCGTGCCGGCAGCGCAGCAGCACCTCTCCAGCTGGGCACGCCACGGCAAGCTCGGTGCCCGGCGGGCTGAAGCCGGGCGCGGCGCCGCCGTTCCCGAAGGGGAGGCGGTAGTCGAGGCTCAGCGCGCCGTCGGGGCGGAGGTCGGCGCAGGCGCCCTCCTCGCGGTAGCGGCAGGCGTAGCCCCGGCCGTGCCGCTGGCAGGGCAGCTCCCGCCATCCCCAGCGGGGGCCGTCGGCGCCCGCCAGGTGCAGCCCGGCGCAGCGGGCGGCGGTGCAGGTCCGCACGGGCTCCTTCGCCCAGCGGCCGAGCGCCGCCGGCACCTCCCGCAGGGCCGCCTCGCCGCGCTCCTCCCAGGAGAAGCCTCGGAGCGGCCGTTCCCCGTCGGTGCAGGCGGAGGCGTTCCTCTTCAGCCCGACCCAGAAGAGCGCGGGCCCCGCGGACACCTCGGCCAGCAGCGCCAGCAGCAGCTCCAGCTCCGACTCGGCGCTCACCCAGGCCAGGCCGCCCCCCCGGCTGCCGCAGGCGCTGCGGGCCTCGTCGTACGAGGCGTTGGCCAGGTGGACGCTGAAGCAGGCGCCGGCGGGCTGGCAGCGCACGACGGAGGGCGGCGGGGGCCGACCCAGGGCGCAGGCCGCGGCCAGGAGCAGGCAGCAGGGCCCGGCCCGCCACCGCCCCATCCTCGCGGCGGGCCCGGGGACGCGGGCTGTCCCGTCGGCTGTGTCGGCGCTCGGTCCGGCTCGGGCGGGCCCGCTCCACCCCAGCGCCGGCCCCGCGCCCGCGGCCCTCCCCCGGGGCTATGCCGGAGGAAGCGTAGCGAGAGCCGGGCCCGACCCCGGCATCCTCCGTTTGTTGGCGGCCCGGCCCCGTCTGGCAGGGCTCCAGGGGTGGGGTAGGTGGACAATGCCGGTGCCCATCCCGCCCTTCAAGTGGCACCGGGGATCCAGTGGTGCGGTCTTTCGAAGCCAGAGGGTTTCGGAATTTATTTCATTTTCTGATGGAATAACTGTGGATGACAAATCCTGTTCAACCACTGTGTGAGACTGACCTGCGGGGATTTCATTGATGCTAGGCCCACAGAGAGATAAAGCCCATTTTCTCTGGACTGCTCAAGGAAGAATTTGAAAGATGTACAACACAGCGAACCACAGAATGACAAAATCATGGAATCATAAAGCTTCAGAAGACCTTTAAGATCATCTAGTCCGACTGCAAACCTATCACCACCATGTCCACTAACCATGTTCCTCAGTGCCGCCTCTACACGGCTCTTGAACACCTCCAGCGGTGGTGATTCCACCACCTCCCTGGGCAGCGTGTTCCAGTGCATTACCACTCTGAAAAGGTTTTTGTAATATCCAAACTGAGCCTTCCCTGGTGCAACTTGAGGCCACTCCCTGGGAGAAGAGGCTAACTCCCACCTTGCCACAACCTGCCTTCAGGCTGTTTTAGAGAATGCTGAGGCTAAGGGAGCCTTAGAGAATGCCAAGCTAAGGCTACCTTGAGCCTCCTCCAGACTAAACAATCTCAGTTCCCAGAGCTGTTCTTCGTAAGACTTGTGCACCAGTTCTCTCAGCAGCTTTTTTACTGTTCTGTGAGCACACTCCAGGGCCTCAATGTCTGTCTTGTAGAGGGGGGCCCAAAACTGAACATAATACTCGAGGAAGCTAAGAAGCACAGAATGTTTTCATGTTTTCTAAGTATTCTACACATTTTGTAAATATCTTGACAAACAGTATTTTAGGGACAGTTTCCCAGGAAAATCCATGAGCTTTTTGCTACCAGTGCATTGCCAGAACTGCAGTAACCATGCTGAATAAAAACCCAAAGGTTAGATTTAGATTGTTCCTCTGGGCAGCACATGACCAAAAATGAATGCACACAATTACCTCTATTCACAAATTCTCTCTTTTTTAAATAAAAAATACTACCAATGTTAATTCTGTACAAAGTACAGCCCTGGTGTCTAGTGTATCTGCTGCTGACAAAGGATGTATGTACTTTGCAGACAGTGTGTTAGCCATGCAGTTACTTTTAACCTTCATTTTCTGCCAATGTTTTGGATGGTCATTACATTCTTATTTCTAGCTGAGCACAGAGGCCACAATAAATCAAAAAAAAAAAAAAAAAAAAGATACAGAAAGAAAAAAAATAATCCCTCGTTTCCCTTGTCCAGTGTGATCAATTCACAATAATTAGTAAAAACTTCCAAATAAAATAGACTTCCCAGTGCTGTTTATGTATTTTCAAGTAGAATTATTTAGATCACTTTTGGAGATGTGTAGAAAAATGTAAGCATTGAGTTATCAGTCTGTCCCAGAAATAGGCATCAGTTAGTTACTTACTTTTTACTTTGGGAAACATCTTGCTAATTTCTAGTATGGTCCCAATAGACAGTAATGTATACAGAAATTTTGTTTATCACAATTGGAAGAGTTAGCAAGGCAGCATTTCAGAATACATGAAATAGACTGGATTAGGGCTAAATGGAATTTACACATTCATAACCATATTTAAGCACACTATTATATGTGGTTTGTATTTCTTTCCTTTTGCTATTCAGCAGAAGTGAAACTAGGTCAAATATTGCCTACGTGCTTGAAATTACTGGATTTCAAAAGCACTTGCAATGCTCAAGTAAAAATAGTTACATTAAATTTGCTAAATACAGTTGGCAGTGTAATTGAATTTGGGTGCCAGTAGATTTGGTTTTAAAGAAAGCAGGTTTCCCCAACAAAACAATAACCTGTAGATTGAATTCTAGAGGCAGTCAGAATGTGCAGGTGTTAGAACCTCTGAGGTCACAGCAGGCAGTGGGGCAGCAGCTATGATTCAAGAGTCTGCTGCTTATTGGAGCTGCCACCCACATCTGCTCCTCTTCGAAACTCCAGGACAGAAGTGAGCACAGGGAAATCTGTCTGCAGTGCTCTGCTAAGAGCTTAGTCATCCCACATTCAGATGGCTAACTTTTCCCTGTATCCAGCCATACATGCAACTAAGGAACCATTCCTTCAGACCTGTGGTGGTTCTTGGTGAGGCACAAGGCTGCACTTCTACAGATATCTATCAGTTCAGTATCTTGAGCCATTTTCCCAAACTGTAGTTGATGATAGGTTTGTGAGAGACAAAAGCTTGTTATGTCAGTGCCTATAAGGACTACATTTGCCTCTGCTGTCCTGCTCAGGGCTGCTGACTCCCTAACATGCACCTGTAATCCCACAGCTTTGGTTTGTTTTCTCTTTCAAAATGGAATTAATGCTTTGCAGCTGAATAGAAACAAAGCTCTATAAACACAATGAATAAAACAGAGGAACAAGAACACTCTCCATTGTGCCTCAAACCTCAGGCCATGTCCCTAGAGAGGAGAATGCAATTCAATCTCTGTAAACACTTGCTCCCTTGCTTCCCTTCCAACTGCTAGCTGTGCTGGAGTTGACCATCCTAAATGCCATCCACCATACAAATGCAGTATCACTGCTCATTTCACACAGGCCACGACTTTCATTTCTTCAGCTACATTTGAACAAGCCATTTAGAAACAGCTGGGTGGACATGCGCAAGCTGGGCAGCCCTGCCTAGTCAGAGAAACCTGCACCATACAGGGAACAGAAAATACTATACACCAGTACCAAAGGCTTTTTGCAGCCCGGTCTACAAAATCTCCAGACAACAACTCTCTCTCTGGTTTTGAATGTTCTCTTATGTTCCATTTTAAGTAAATAAGAAAACACTCTTTCCTTAATTGTCTTAAGGTTTTTCCTGAATACTTCCAATCCTTAACGAGAGGATTAGCTGCTTACGCGCAAATGCTGATGCCAGCGAACATGTGAGGCAATTAATCTTGTATATATAAAGATTTTATGAATGGGACTGCTTATGACTAATTGATGTGCAAGTCCTGCCCTTCTCAATAGTAAAGGCTTTATTTAGCTGTAGTTGCTCCTTAGACTCCTTCCTGTAAGATCCGAGCTTCTGAAAAAACAGTGGCTTTCTTTAATGATAATTCTATTAAGAACGATTAGGCTTTTTGTTTCATTGTGCCAGCATATCTGCCATATAGTATTAGTATGTTTCGATTAAAGAGTAATGAGAGAAGTAATAAAAATACTTTTTCTTTTATGGTGGATTCTCTCTTGCATTCTTACAGAGTAAATTAAAGCAATTCTTTTTGTGAATAACCAGGAGATATGTCAGCACATACTTTACAAGTGCTAGAGCTAAGGAAGATGCATATTCCTTACAAGTAGGCTCACAAATAGGAATAGTATCCTTTTCTTCTTAAGAGCTGTGTTGCTTTGTAGAAGTAGAGGAGATGGATGGTGCAGTGAGATCTGCCTGGCTCTGCAGGAGACAAGTGAAACAATTGCATAATACTGTTGTGCTAGAGTAGGAGTGAAGTAGCTTAGCTGGCAGGTGGCATTTCTCATCACACAGGAAAGTGTCTGGAAATGGATACTTAACCTATTCCACCATAAACCTAAAGGAAGAAGCTGCAACTTCTCTTTCTGCTATTGGAGAGGAAGGCAGTGAGGGTGCACCCCCATTAGCTGTCCTGTACCTTCAGGGTGGCTGAACAAATCCATTGTACAATGCAGATATGATCCGTTGTACAATACAGATATCTTTTGAGGGGAAAATTTGGAGAGAGCAAGAAGGGGAGATCAGAAGTTCCTGCAGAAGTTGGCAGAAGCTTTGCCTTAACCCTGTGAGCTTGCTTCCTCTCCTTCATCCCAACCAACATTACAGCTGGATTTACATGTTTTCCTGCTAAATTGATCATGATTCAAGTCAAAACATTCTCCATCCTTCAGTGGTCTATTAAAAGATAGGCAGTAATATGCATTTCCCAATAGAAACAGCTATTTTGAACAAGAGAGTATCACTGCTGTTTGACAGCATGCCTCCAAACTCTGGATTAAACCCTACTCCTTTTCTCAATCAGTTCTTCACAAAATCGATACCCATATTTAAACAACAGTTTACCAAATAGTAAAACTGCCTCACATTTCACCTGTAAGCAAGGACTAAGCAAAGTATTTTCTCATAGTAGTTTATATTCTTCTTTAAAAAATTGGCTAAGTTAAGAATTAGACCCTCTTGAAATCAGTGAGAACTGTCTCATTTCATCAGTGTGCCAAGATTTCTCGTGAATATTTGACTGTATTCAGTCAAATAGCTTTCAGCAGAGAGTGTAAATGCCAGGTTAAATGTGGCGTGTTTCTGCACTTTTCCAGGAAACAGGACAAGAAATCAAAATAAGAATTTCTCCATATTTCAACAGCTTGCATGATCATAAGAATTTAATTATTCATTACTCAAAAGGACTACAGAGATAATGAGATTCACTTACACACTCTGGAAAAGATAACCCAGCAGGGGTCACGCAAGTTCCTGTCTACTGTAGAAACCATTTTCAGTGACATTATCACACAGCTAAGGGACTTTAAAAAATAAGTAATAATATTTAACTGCTGTTGTGAGCACACTCATACATCTGATACATTGATGATGTGGACATAAAATAGAACTAATCCTGATCTGCTGAAGTGGCATTTAATAGATGGGATACGCTGGCAAAAAAAAACAAATAAAAAGATGTGGCTGTAATGCTATCAAATATGCATGTGTTATCCTTAAAGCTGTTTCACTTTGATGTTCATGTTTCCATTGTTAATTATGCAAGAAAATAATGTATTCTGTTAACACTTCCATTCATCTTTAATGAGTTATTAAGAAAGATTCCAATCCTGTAATT